CTAATATAAGTTAGAGATGGGAACCGACCAATCTCACACTATATCTAAGGCGGCTTAAAAAATCGTGACTACGGACAGCAACCAAAACCCTAATTTAATCCCATTAAGTAATTTACATAATTAAACAATTATAATAAAATCAATTAACGCATTTAGAATAATTAAAATAATTCAGGATATAATTAAGTCAATTAAAATAAAAGAAAATCCATTTAAATAAAATAAGTCACTTAAATAACAGAATTCAAATAAATCAAATAATAACAATTAATGCAAATAACCAAGCAATAAAACAATTAAATAATTAAAAATGCAACCAAAAACTTAAGTAAAATACCAGGACTATCCTTTCAAAATTAGGGGTATTACACTTGTAATCCGAGAACACCTCAAATCTCTCACCATACAAATAGTGTCTCCAACACTTCAAAGTAAACACGACTGCCGCTAGCTCCAAGTCATGCATCTTCAACTGGCGAGACCTATAAGCCACTACTCTACTATCATGCATCAGTACACAACCTAAACCATCACGTAAGGCGTCACAATAGATCACATAACCCAAGCCACGCTCGGGTATCACCAACACTGGAGCCATAGTCAAACTCATTCCATACAAACTTGATCCCTTTCTGGGTCAATCTGGTCATAGAAGCTGCCAAATGGGAAAAATCTTTCACAAATCTCCGATAATAACCCGCTAGGCTAAGGAAACTCTGGATCTCAAAGACATTCTTGGGTTGCTCCCAATTCAGAACTGCTTCTATCTTTGAAGGATCAACTGAAACTCCACTTTCCGAGACAACATGTCCCAAAAACTTCACCTCTTGTAGTCAAAACTCACACTTTTCATATTTGGCATATAAACGGTGCTCCCGTAGAATCTGCAACACTATACTCAAATGGACCTCGTGTTCCTCCCGAGTCCGTGAATACACAAGAATGTCATCCACGAAAACTACCACAAACTGATCCAAGTAATCGTGAAAGACGCGGTTCATCAAGTCTATGAATCAAATGGCATAACAAGGAACTCGTAATGTCCATACCATATACAAAAAATGGTCTTTGGAATAGTCTAACAATAACCAGACCTCAAGTCAATCTTCGAAAAACAACTGGCTCCTCTCAACTGATCAAATAAATCATCTATCCTTGGCAAAAGATACTTGTTCTTGATGGTGGCATGATTCAACTTTCGGTAATCAATGCACAACCTCAATGAACCATCCTTCTTCTTAGCGAACAAGACCGGTGCACCCCACAGTGACCCACTCGGTCGGATGAAGCCTTTCTGTAATACCCCTAATTTTCAAAAGGATAGTCTCAGTATTTTGTTTAGTTGTTTTCTTTTCATTAATTGTTTTATTTAATGTTTTAATTGGTTTAAGTGTAATTAATTGTTTTCTTTTCATTAATTGTTTTATTTAATGTTTTAATTGGTTTAAGTGTAATTAATTGTTTTCTTTTCATTAATTGTTTTATTTAATGTTTTAATTAGTTTATTTGTGTTCTGTAAATTCTTTGATTATTGTTTTATTTAGTTTTTGGTTAATTGGTAATTAAAATAAATTAAAGTGTTTTCCTAAATTTACGTTACTATAGGATTGGTGGTAAGTAGCCGTCATGTTTTTCACTTAGATGGAGTTATGGGCCGATTAGGTTTCACATTAGGGCTTCAATTAGCTTTAGGTTTGTGTAACCTTATAAATAGATGTAATAATGTTGTGCTAGGGTTTTAAAAAAAACAAAAAACAAAACCCAAAACACGTCTGTGGAAATAGAGACGAGGAACAGAGGAAGTTTGTAGTAGGAATCGCCGGAGATCGTAGAAGACAACGTGGAGATTTTTAACAAAAATCTCAAAAAGGCAAGTTCTATCCTCACTCTCTCCCTTAGGTTTCGTGTTCTTTGCATTCTTAAACAATTTTAGGATTAATCAGATCAATTAAAACATTCTTTGTTTGTGCTTAAACCGAAACTGTTAAGAACCTGTTGTTTGCTTGCATGAATCTCTGTTTAAAGCAATGTGTGTAATGTTAACTGGACTTAAGCACGAACTGGGATGTACTGGGAGTGGGTTACAGTCTCCGGAAATCATGGCGTGAGGTAGTAGAGGCGTAAAAACGAAGATAGAGGGCGAAGAGACGAGGCAGAGAGGGGGAGAGCCGGCTCTCCCTTGGAGAGAGCAGGCTCCCTTTGATGGGAGGCGGCTCCCAAGGCTGTGGGAGCCGGCTCCAAGGGCAAAGAGCCGGCTCCACATTTTTTTGGAGCAGGCTCTTGCTCCATATTGCCTGCATGTTCGTTTTTTGGGTATTTTTCTTCATACAGTGCATGGTTTTGGAGTTCAGTGGTGTTTAGGGTTGTATATGGAAGGTTTGGTTGAAGTATGGGTGTGAATTAGGGTTCCAAAAGTAGGGCTAAGGAATAAATTCTTTGGAATGGCTTGGACAGTAGAGAATTCAAATCAATATGTATATAGTTTTAGAGTTGAAAGAATTAGGTTGTTAATTCTTTGTGCTGATGTTTTTCTCTGCAACTTATATAATAAATGGAACTTGTATCACACTATATCAGGAGCATGTAACTGTTTATATTTGTTTAGGATGTGTTAATGTTGCTTTATATTAAATTTAAATTTAACATTAACTGGACTTGTGAAATAACCAAAACTAAGCATGTATATATACATACTGTATTTCTGTCTTGTTACTTACATCAACACTTTTAGTATCAACTGATGGAGTAATGGACATAGTTAATGGTTATCTTAACTGACTGTAATACCAACTGCTGGATGTTGGATGCTAATAAGATTTAAACTTAGCACTAAATCAGATTTTGTGGAACACTATAAACTGAGCATGTGTAGAAAATATTTTGACTGTGCTTAATTGATAGTATCAGTAATGGATATAAAACTGAGCCTGTTTATGGATATGGTTGACTGTGTTTATTGATGCTTACAATATGACTTTTAGTATCAGAAAGGGAGATATGGATTGAGTTGATATTTATGGTAGTTGTCTGTATTATCAACTGCTGGATGATTGGATAATATACACCGGTATGGGATGGTGGTATACTAGGGATGGTTTGGTTTCAAAATACCAAAACCTACCTACTCTAGATTAAGAATTGGATTAACTAAAAGTTAAGTCCTATTAATTATAGTGTCATGGCAACGACTAGTTGAGCGGCACTACCAGGATTCGGGATGGACTTTAAATATATTATTATGGTACCTCGATATGAGCTTGAGTCTCAGGATCGACGGTTAGGGAGCGTATATGCATTGGGATGCATAACTAGATACGATGGTTAGAGGTGTACCCTGTTTAGGTCTAGGTACACATGCCCACTTCGTGTGCGTTTTTAGCATGTTACCTCTATTCAGGTTGAGACCGGCCTGTAGTCCAGTGAGAGTCATTTAGTATGACTATATATATATACACTTACGGACTATTAGCTATTGTTAAATTGTTTAGGATGTACATACGTATCGGGCCTCTGTTTGGATTGTAGTAGTATAGAACTTGCACGTGAGCCTGACCCACTTCTATTTTTCAGGTACACGACAGTTCCAGGCTTAGACGTGTTTGTGCTGAGCAGAGGTCTCTATTCACTCTTCCGACGATGTAGGATTCTCTCCATAGTTTATTTCTAGATGCTTATTACAGTTGCTTTATTTTCCGTTTGGATGTTAATAGGGGTCCACTAGAGATGGATTCCCGAGTTGCAAATTGATGGAGTTTTAGAGTTTGGGTTTGATGGATTTTAATAATTATAATATTTTGCGGATTCTATTTTTAGTTCCTTTCAGCTCTAATTTCATTTCTTATTTCATTTTCAATTCCGTGTTCATTATAAAATATTAATTGTTTGATATTCCCTCGGGTTTGGGCCTGGGCCTGATCAACCCATGTCTCTTATCCGAGGGGTATCACACTTTCACTCTCAAATCATCAAGTTGTTTCTTTAATTCGTCTAATTCAATCGGTATCATATGATACGGTGCCATGGAGATTGGCGCGGTATTAAGCATTAAATCAATAGCAAATTCCACCTCTCAGTATGGAGTCAAGTCCTCCGGAAACACATCTAGAAAGGCGCGTACAACCACGGGATAATCAACCCCACAAAACTCCACGTCATCATCAGTAAAAAGGCTAGTCAAGAAGAACGTCTGTCAATCCCAACTCCTAATACCATGGAATGAATGAGTGAGAGGATCACACCGATCTCCCACAAAACGGAAATAATCCTCATCCGGGGTACACACTAAAACGCTACCCCTGAAACAATCAATGACAGCTCTAAAGGACGACAACTAGTCCATCCCAAGAATGACATCGAATCCCGTCATCTCGAGAAGGATGAAATTGAACTCAAGAACACGTCTGGCAATCGTGATGGAACAACTCCTACAAACTCTACTAAGAGTAACTGAACCCTTGATAGGCATGTCAACATAGAGCGGTCTGTCTAACTGACTGACCTCTAAACCTAATGCCCATGCAAATGATGAAGCAATGAATGAATAAGAAGCACCGGAATCAAACAATACACGAGCCCAATAATGGGATACAAGAAATATACCCCTGACAACTGAAGGATGCTTATATGTTTATATGCTTATGTGTTAAGGTGTTTAATTATTTGAAAGGCATGCTTAATTGTTTAACTGCTTATATGATTATGTGCTAAGTGCTTAATGTTGTTGTATATTATTAGCACGATCATGTTTATCATTAGTTGGGTATTCTGGGAGTATGAAAGGTGTTTATGTGTTTCCATTCTTGTCAAATCATCCGTGTGAGGACTCTGTTCTCGTGTGTATTTTAGTGTCATCATTATTGATCCGTTTCCTTCTTCTTATAGCGTCATGCCACCACGAAGGGATCCCGGGGAAAGTTCTAGCTCGAATCCCGTGGAAAGGGATTATGAGCAAGTTGAAGAAGATATCTTGTTGTGTGATTTGGTCCCACCAAGAGGGACAAATGAGGGGGACCGTTGATCCACCTTTTCAGATAAATGAGGAACAATTGCAGTTAGCCGTTCAGGCAGCTCTTTTCAAAGCATTTCGACCGGCAGGTGCGTCATCATCACAGTTTGTGCCACCACCGGCACCACCACCACCTCCAAAGACAAATGAGTTGAATGATACTCTTTATCACATTGCAGAGTTTGTGAAATGCCAACTCTGTTTGAGGGCGGCCCAGATCCACTTGTTGCGGATAGTTTCATGGATAGGGTGGAGAAGCATATTAATGCCATGAATTTGGCAACAGACAAGTTGAAGATCATATTGGCGACTTACAATTTTATTGGTGATGCTGAGATATTGTGGAAGACCATTTCACACACCCACAATTTGGATACTATGACATATGATACTTTCAAGAAGTTATACTATGAGAAGTACTTTCCGGCGCCTAAGCGGAGGGAACTAAAGAAGAAGTTTGATAGGTTGAAGCAAGGAAACATGACAGTTACAGAGTATGAAAACAAGTTTACATCGCTTTTGAGGTTTGCACCGGGGATTGCTAATGATGAGGAAGAAAAGATAGAAAAGTTTGTTGATGGTCTTGATCTCACCATCAGGCCAATTGTAGCTGCCTCAAAACCGTCAGAGTATGCAAAAGCAGTGCGAAAAGCTTTAATAGTTGAGGCGGAAAGCAGGGACAGTAAGGCTATCAAGGAGTCCTACAAGCACAATAGGGGTATGAGTGCTTTCTCCGAGGGTCAATCAAGTAAGAAGCAGAAGTATGAACAGTCAGGGTTCAGGGGATAGCAGCCAGTCAGATCTGCACCCACAGCTTCAGTGTCCATAGGGTCTTCTAGACTGAATGTTACTTGTTTTAGATGCGAACAGCCGGGACATTATAAGTCCCTATGCACTCAGGCTCAGGTAGCTCAAGTGATTTGTTTCAAGTCTGGGCAGTCAGGGGATCACAAGTCCCAGTGTACTTAGATTCAGGTGGCGTCTAGTGGATGTTTCTGGTGTAGCCAGCAGGACCATAGGGTGAAAAATTGTCCACAGCGAGGCAGTGGTTTGGGCAGAGGTGGAGGTTCACAACAGAGGCAGATGCAGTCTATCATAGTTTAGTCAGGGTTTCGACCGCTGCAACCACCTCAGCCGTCTCAGCTATCCATGTCAGCCCAGAGTTCTCGACCAGGCAGAGGAACTTCTTCGAGTGCACCCACTGTAATACCCCTAATTTCAAAAGGATAGTCCTAGTATTTATTAAATTGTTTAAATTACATTTATTTTTATTTAATTGTTTATTTGTTTTTTTAATTTATTTAACTGGCCTTTTGTTTCTATTTGTATTAATTGTTGACGTGATCATGTGTTAATTGTAATTGTTTTCATTGTGGTGATTTAATGGTCTTTAATTATTTACTTGTTTTAATTGAATTAATTTAATTATAGATAATTATTTAACTGATGAAATTTAGTCGTTTTAATTGAATTAAGTTAATTAAATTTAATTATTTTTAACGTGACTGTATGGAAGCACACATATAGTTATATTAGGGTTTTATTTACACGGATGTAGCCGACTTAGGGTTGGTTTTGTATTAGAATTAGGGTTGGGTTGAAGCCTATAAATACAGTATTATACGTTGGTTTAGGGTTATAAAATAAAACCCTATTCACTGATACTTATACCGTGAGATAGAGAGATACAGAGAGTGGAAACTAGGACATTATCGGAGAGGTTCAAGGATACACTAGACGGAGTGTTTCTGGGTTGAACCAAGAGCACCTGAGGTGTAGAACAGGAGTCTCAGACGTGGACAGAAGTTTCAAGGACAGTGGTTTAGAGTTTCAAAACTGAAACTCAAGGCAAGTCACTATTCTATTCCTTCCCTTTAATTCGTGTTCTGTGCATGCTAGTTAGACTCCAGGGATTTAAATAAAGGTTAAAATAGTGGTAAACTGTAATAGCCCTAATTTTCAAAAGGATAGTCTCGGTATTTTGTTTAATTGTTTTCTGTTCATTAATTATTTTTGGTTCATTAATTGTTTTGAATTATGTCATTTTTAATTATTTGATTTGCTTGACTTATTTGTGTTATTTGAATTAATTAGTTGGTTTATTTGTTTTCTTTGGTTTAATTAATTATTTGAATTATTTACATTAATTGTGATAATTGTGATTATTTAAGTTAATTGTTTTAATTATTTATTTGGCTTTAATTTTCTGTAAATTGTATGTTATTTTCTGTTTTACGTTAACTTGGAATTTTATTGTTTCTTTAATTGAATTAGTAATTACATGTTTTAATTTATGACTAGGTATAAAAGTGTGGTTAGGGTTTTAGTTCTGTTTAGGTTTAATTTAATGAGCCAACAGGGTTTATAAACTAGGTTGTGTTTATGGGGCGCGTTTCAGACTTTAGATATAATTGGACTTAGGGTTTTGGTTGCCTATAAATATATAAGATAATCTGCTTAGGGTTTAAAAAAAAAATATAAAACCAAAACACGTCTGTGGAATTAGAGACGAGGAACAGAGGAAGTTGTAGTAGGAATCGCCGGAAATCGTAGAAGACAACGTAGAGATTTTTAACAAAAATCTCAAGAGGCAAGTTCTATCCTTACTCTCTCCCTTAGGCTTCGTGTTCTTTGCATTCCTAAACTGTTCCAGGATTAATTGTATTTTAAAATGTTTCTCTGTTCGTGCTTAAGTTTGATATGTGTTGCATGGTTATTAAACTGTTAAAACTTGATAGTTGTGTGCATAATTCTTGATTTAAGTTCATGATTAATAATGGTATAAGGACTTTAACATGGACCGGGGACACACTAGGGTTAGGTTACAGGTTTTGGAAGTCAGAACAGTGAGGCGTAGAGGCTGCAGAGTCCATCGGAGGAGGGAACGACGAAGCAGAGAGGGAGGGAGCCGGCTCTCCTTTGGAGGGAGCCGGCTCCCCTTGGTGTGGAGGCGGCTCCAAGAAACTGGAGCCGGCTCCAATGTTTAAAGGAGGCGGCTCCAATTTCTGGAGACGTCTCCTTGCACAGTTTTTCAATTTTTCTTCGGTTCTAGTTGGTTTTTCATGCAGTGAATGATTCTGGAACTTTTCAGATGAGGTTAGAACTGAATATGTAATGTTTATAAGAGCATAATGTCTGGGTTAAGGTTCCAGAAGGAGTGTCAATTAATCTGTCCACTTGGAATAGCTTGGACAGTAAGGAACTGGAACAAATAATTATACTATGTTTGGGTTGATAGACTTGCAGTGGTTAGTTCTCTGTATTAGTTTTCTGAGATGAACAATGGTTTCAGAACATGTTTCACCATATACCATGATCTTGTATTTGAATTATATATGGGTAGGATGCATTGAACTAAGTTTTAAATTTAGCATCAATTGGATTTTGTGAAACAACCAAAACTAAGCATGTATATATACATACTGTAATTCTATCTTGACGCTTGCACTTTTACTGCTAGTATCAACTGTTGGAGGAAATGAACTTGTTGATGGTTATATTAAATGTTTGTTATATCAACTGCTGGATGTGGATTCTACTGAGTCTGTGAAACATTAAAGATTAAGCATGCCTATGTATATGCTAAAATTTTGTTTTGATGCTTTCATTAGTACTGCTAGTATCAATTTTTGGAGCATGGACCTGGTTGATATTTACCCCAAATGTCTGTGATATCAACTACTGGATGTGGAATACTATTAATATTTAAACTTAGTATTATATCAGTTTTTGTGTAACAGTATGTACTGACTATGTTTACTCTACTTATTGATGCTCACATCACTACTGTTGTTATCAATCATTGGATGTATGGAATTAGTTGATATTCGCTTCAGTTGCCGATATTATCAACTGCTGGATGGTTGGATAGTATACACCGGCATGGGACGGTGGTATACTAAGGATGGTTTGGTTTCAAAATACCAAAACCTACCTATTTTGGATTAATGAATGGATTAACTAAAAGTTAAATCCTATGGATTTGTAGTGTCATGGCAACAACTAGTTGAGCGGTACTACTATGGATTTTGAATGGATTTTAAATATATTACTACTATGGTACCTCGATATGAGCATGAGTCTCAGGATCGACGGTTAGGAAGCGTATATGCATTGAGGTGCATAGCTGGATATGATGGTTAGAGGTGTACCCTGTTTAGGTATAGGTACATATGCCCACTTTGTGTGCGTTTTAGCATGTTACCTCTATTCAGGTTGAGACCGGCCTGTAGTCCAGTGAGAGTCCTTTAGTGTGACTATATATATATTTACGGACTATTAGCTATTGCTGAATTGTTTAGGATGTACATGCGTATCGGGCCTCTGTTTGGATTGTAGTAGTATAGAACTTGCGCGTGGGCCTGACCCACTTCTATTTTTAAGGTACACGACAGTTCCAGGCTTAGACGTGTTCGTGCTGAGCAGAGGTCTCTATTCACTCTTCCGACGATGTAGGGCTCTCTCTATAGTTTTATTTCTGGATGTTTATTATAGTTGTTTTATCTTCCGGTTGGATGTTTAATAGGGGTCCACTAAAGATGGATTCCCGAGTTGTAAATTGATGGAGTTTTGGAGTTTGGGGTTTGATGGGTTTTAATAAGTATAATACTTTGCGGATTCTATTTTTAGTTCCTTTCAGCTTTAATTTCACTTCTTAATTCATTTTTGTATTCTGTGTTCATTATAAAATATTACTTATTAGATATTCCCTCGGGTTTGGGGCCTGGGCCTGATCAACCCGTGTCTCGGATTCGAGGGTATCACATAAACAAACATAATAACATGTTTTATGCATATCAGAATATTTGTTTAACCTCGTGAATTAACTACTTTGCATAATCGTTGAGTTTTCTGGTACTTGTTTCTTATGAGGTTTATGATTAAACGTTGTTTTAATTGAGATTAGTAATACAGTTGGATGCCTTGTAATTAATCTGGGACTGAGTTTGAACTCTAGAACAAGTGCTTAGAACAGTCTTTAATTTTACTAAAGTAATCTGCATTAAGTTTGTGATGATTTGCTTAAAAGGTTTCTAACGGTGGTTCTGTAAGCGTGGTTTTAAAACTTGTGTTGCTATGCATGTTTATATTCGATCTCAGTGGTTTAAATTTATCTAGGACTAAGATTGAACCTAGAAGGAGAATTAAAACATATTACAGAGGCTCTGTTAGTCACCGGAGTTGGAGATGACAAACAAAAATGGACGACGGCTCTCAGAGGAAGAGAGCCGGCTCACCAAAAGAGGGAGCCGGCTCTAGGGCTTGAGGAGTCGGCTCCACAAGGGTGTAGAACCGGCTGCACAAGGGGTAGAGCCGGCTCCACATGAAGTGGAGGCGGCTCTACTAAGGGGGGAGCCAGCTCCAATGTTCTGGAGGCGGCTCCAACCTCTTCTCTCTTCAATTTTCGTGTTCTGGGTTTGGGTTAGCCTGTAAGGAGTTTTCTAAATTATTCCAGAGGCTATGGATGGTTTATGCAACTGTTCAAGAGATGTAAAAAGGATTAGGAAGTATGTTAGTATTAGTATTGAAGCATGAGACAACCTACGGTTACATAATACACTGGTAGGTGGAAGGGTGAATAATTAACTTAAGTTGCTTACTGTTTTAGCAAATTGGTTTCTTTGCATGATCTTAAATTGGAAATCATGTCTCAGCTGTTTTATAGGCATATATTATTTATTCTGGAAAAAAAATAAGTATGCTTAAATGGAAATTAATTGATGTTTTAATTATACTGTATATTGCATCAAGTTATGGTATTAATTGGAGGAGTTGTATGCGTAGTCCTA